CTTTGCCTTCTAAAATACAGATTTTCATATGATTTGATTTAGTATTTTAATAATTCAGTCTTAATTATGAATATCTAGGGGGACCGGCAAGTGGCATGGTGGTTAAGGCGCTGGACACTCCCACATGGCCAACCACGGTTCAAGTCCTGGACCTGGCGGCTTGCTTTCTCCCTTTCTCTCTCTGGGTCTCTGTCTCTCTCTGATCAAATTAAAATAAGTGAATAAATAAAATTAAATAGTTAAAAAATTTCTGTTTTAAATATCTGATCATTATACTACACTGTTATTTGAGATAGAACTTAAAAAAAAATAACTGCTTTTAAAGATTAAATGACCATTAAGGTGGTATTTAAATTCTTAGAATAAATTTTAGAATATTTCTACCACCATATTACAGCTGTTATTTTGCATTCCTTCTTTTTTCCTTAAGTTTATTTATCTATTTCTTTTGTGAGTTAGAGAAACAGAGAGACCAAAAGGCAACACCCCAACAAGGTCTGGACGCTGCAACCTACTCCCAGCCTTTAGCCATCCCTGGATTGAGCAAGTGCACATCTGGCATACTCAGGGAGTTCTCCGGACTTGAACTAGGAACCTTCCCATGAGGGATTGCCTGACGGTGTCACGTTTTACCACTGTATCATCATCTAGCCATTCTTTTTACATCTGTAGCTTTTGATGAGTTGCAGGTGTACGATCATCTTAAGTAAAACAGAAGTTTTTTGAGTTCTCAAGTTAAACTGTCATCCATTCTAGCTCCTTAAAGACCATATCTTCTAGTCGCTTTGTTCAGGAGATTTGAACCTGTTAAACTGCTAAAAAGAGATCAATGAATATTTGCTGAATGCTCAGGCTACCAAAATAGTATAATTAAATATCAAAGAGAGCTGAGAACAAAAAACTGATAACATGAATGTCACCAACCCACACACCCTTCAAGTAGTGGAACGGTGACATCATGGCACTATTTTTACCCACTCTCAGAGGCCCGCTCCTGTGTTCCCACCCTGCAAGCTCCAGCTCAAATACTCCTTCCATGAAGTCCCTCCTGACACCAGAGGTTTAGCTGCTCTCCACGCTCGTCAGCCACACTCTAAACATTCATTATGCACTTAGTATACTGTAATTCACTTTCTACAGTTATTCTCCAGAACCACATGGAAATTCCTTGAGGTATGTGTCTATTCCTATTTAAAAGGTTAATAAGGCTGGTGTCATGAGCATTCAGCAAATATTCATCGATCTCTACTAAGGTGTCAAGTTTTTTTTAGCAAGCATTCAAAGGTATTGAAAGAAACAAAGGTAGCCATGCAGTTGTCCTGGTTCACGCAGTCTTCATGACTAAAAACACAAGTGATCACTGACTATCAAGATTATACCCGGACTAGCTGATGGCGTAGTGGCGAAGATGGCCGGACCCCAAGTGGGCAACTACGCAGTTTGGTCCCAGACCCAGCACATCAGATATATGTGTGTGCGCATGACCAAAATCCTCAAAAGGAGAGGAAAAGAGAGGAGAAGGGATTGTGATGTGACCATCCCCCATGGGGGGGGTGTCAAACTTTTTCCTCTTAGTTTCTCACTCTGTTTCTCTCAGGTAAGCATTCAGGCCTCTGACAAAGTTATTAAAAAAATATAATAATAATTAAACAGAAGTACCCAAAAAATATCAATATGGGTGAAATATCATACTTTTCCTGTTAATTAATTTCATTATTTTAACTCAAGAAAGTGCTATTTTAAAGGTTTCTTTGCCTTAGGCTAATAAAAAGTATCAGGAATTTTTGACATGGGGTAGAAAGAGGGGAAGAATTGATCGATTTAAGGTGACTTTTAAATTTATCAATCGAATGTAGTATATTTGGCTCTATATTCAAAGAGCCCAGCTCTTATTGAAAAGGAATAGGGAGGGAAGGAGACACAGAATTGGAATGACTACGAGGAAAACCTGAAAATGACCTAAGTCCTCACGAAATTAAGGTATTGTGTATTGGCCGATATTAGGAATATCCAAGTGCCAGTTATTTTGAGATACATACTTAAGTATCTCTGGATGAAATAATATGATCCTGGGCTTTCTGTCAAAATAATGGGGGAGTGGTGAGAAGTATCGGAGAAACAAGATTGGCTGTGAAGCTGGGTATTGAGCACCTGTAGTTTAATAATATTTTCCTCTCAAATGTTTGGGCATGATGAAATGTTCCAGACTAAAAAGAAAGACAGCATTCACAGGTATCCCGTTAATTCTCTGGATGGTTACAGTGGTTCCCCACTGCCTTCTGGCTTTGCCACCTAGCTTCCTGATATTAGCAGGCGTTGATGTTCCACAGAAGGGTTGTAACATACAGTGCCATTCCTCTTTGAGGTTCATGGCCTTATATAGACACCACCCCATTCTCACTTCCACTCTGCACTAGGAACCCTCAGCCTACCTAAGACAGAGCTCTACTAATTGCCATCACAGCTGAAGTTTAAATCAGCGTATCAGCTACTAACAGCTCAACGAACATGCTATCTATACCATACAATGCGGAGCACAAACCACATCCTAGTTTTCAGCCTTACTGATTCATTCCAAGAATCCTAAAACCAAAACAGAGTATCAAGACAGACTGTGGTCATATGGCATTTCCACAGAGCCAAAATCCAGGGTGAGTCTGC